TAGATGGGAAAGAAATGGAGGTAGTGACAGATTTTATTTTTCTGGGCACCAAGATCACTGCAGATGGGGACTGCAGCCAAGGAATTAAAAGACGCTTGCTCCTGGGGAGGAAAGCTACGGCAAATCTAGACAGCATACTAAAAAGCAGAGACATCACCCTGCCAACCAAAGTGCGTATAGTCAAGGCTATGGTTTTTCCAGTTACAATGTATGGCTGTGAAAGTTGGACCATAAGGAAGGCTGAGTGCTGAAGAATTGAGGCCTTTGAGTTGCAGTGCTGGAGAAGACTCCTGCGAGTCCCTTATTTATTTATTTGTTTGTTTAAACAACTTATATGCCTCCCCCTTCACTTGAGCGGCTTCCAATCTTGGACTGCAAGGTGATCAAACCGGTCAGTCCTAGAGGAGATCAACCCTGACTGCTCTTTGGAAGGCCAGATACTGAAGATGAAACTCAAATACTTTGGCCACCTAATGAGAAGGAAGGACTCCCTGGAGAAGAGCCTAATGCTGGGAACAATAGATGGCAAAAGAAGAAGGGGATGACAGAGAATGAGGTGGCTAGATGGAGTCACTGAAGCAGTGAGCTTAAGTGGACTCCGGGGGATGGTGGAGGACAGGAAGGCCTGGAAGAATGTTGTCCATGGGGTCACGATGGGTCGGACACGACTTCGCTACTAACAACAAGTCTGAATCTCGGTTGTCGCAACTTCAGTTGATTGTTTCATGTCCTACACTCTCGTATCAACAAGAAGAGATCCTGCCCTTCCTCTTTGTGACAGCCTTTGAGGTAATTATAGAGTGGTATCATGCCTCTACCCGCTGTCTTCTCTTCTCTAGACTGAACATATTCAGTTCTCTCAGTCTCTCTTCATAGGGCAGTGTTTCCAAAGCCTGGAAATTTTTAAGTGTAAAATAATACATGCCTCCATTTGCATGATTAGCATAAACTAGTTATTTTCAGATTTATATCTAAGGTGGGCCAAATTATTTGGCCCAGATTTTTAGACAACTTCTGGCAGGGGGATAGGGACCCTTCCTGAACTTCATGGTGCAGGGCAAACATTTGGGTGGCATGGGAGGTGTCTTACTTTGGATTAAGAGGTGTTTTTCTCTTTTTCTTTTAATTGTAGAGAAAGGTAAGCAGCCATTCCAAAGAGCTTTGATTTGTTTTCAGTTTATAAGCAAACATCGCAGCCTTGTCATGCCTGGAAACTCCCTCACATTTATTCCTGCCCCATTTTGCAGGAGACAAAGGTCTGAATGAATGTGCACTGTGGAGAATGCTGCTCAGCAGTAGCTTTAACATAACAAGAACCAGCTTCAGTTTTTATTTTCAGCCAGGTCTTCCATGTATCAGGTCTCCAGATCTGTTTTTATGCTGTTCTGAAGCTCTGAAGCCTCTCCTATCATGCCCTAACCAGGAACTAAATTTTACTTTGGACCCACAGGCTGGCCATAGAGGGCAGTACCTCTGAGCCTGAACCAATTAACCTTTATGCTCCACTGAGAAATCTGAAATTAGACTGCAGGATACAATTGAGGTCTAGAATTTCTATTTATTTAGCCTCACTTTTTCCTGCAAGAGATGCAAATTTGCAAATTATGTCCTGATCACCAAAATCAATTAAACCCCCTTTTAATGGTATTTCATCCTTACCCGGTTCCTCAATGACATAGAGGATAGATTTGCCGCTGGAGTCCTCATAGTACTGGAAACGCACCACACAGTCATTCTCATCCTTGTAGGTACAATTCACAGCATCTTTCCCCTTGTCTCCTGCATGAGAAGGCATAGAAAAGAACATTTAGAGCACAATCCTATCTGGCTAAAAGGATGCTGGAAATCAAAGAGCAAATGTTAGTTGTGAAAATTCACAAGATCTGAAATGAGCAGGCTTCTCTGTTTACAACCAATACAGACTCATTGTTTGGCAAGGGGCTACTATAGTCTATTAAGAAATTCATCTCCCTAGCTAGGATGTCTGACCACTTGAGCCCCAATTTTGAATGTATGGCTGGTGTTGGGCATTATGTGAAGATTAGAGATTCTGTTAAGCAGGGCCTTGTGGTTCACCTGATGTTGGACTCCAACCCTTATCACAGTGGAGAACTAGGCAAGCTGCCATGGGTTCCTCACAAGTCTCAGTATAAGGGAGTTTCTTCTAATTCCCTTGTCATTGTTGGGCCACTTCCTGGTCAGATTTTGGCTTGCAGCATCACATGGGTGATGGTACCACTAAGATGGAATTTGATGGATTCTTGAGAGTCATTTGAGATTTTCTGTTTGAAATGACTGGTGTTCCCACCAAAGCCGTAGTCTCTCTGTGAAATAGAGGAATGACTTGGGCAGTTGATATGACTGCTCCTAAGCATCCTCCCCAACATGCACAGCTGGGTTGTCTTCCCGGTTCGCCAAGGAACTGGGGATGATGAAGCAGGTTGGAAGGGAAGCAAAATGGAAGTAGTGTAAGACTTGCAGATAATATGATCAAACAGCTGTGAGAGCTCATTACTGAGCCTTCCTTTACAGTGAAGATGGCAGCAAAAAACTTCACCACTATCACTGTAAAGCTTCCAGTGGAGCTTTCTGAATGATTTTGTGTCTCTTACTATTTACTTATTTATTTATTTAAACAACTTATATGCCGCCCCATCGCATGAGCCTCGGGGCGGCTTACAATCATAAAATCCCGCATAAAATACAAAAAAAAATCATCAAATAAATAAAATACATAAAATAAAATAGTGGACACAGCCTGGTCAATTTAAAATCAACAAATAAACCATTAACAGTTAAAATAACATTTAAATAAAAAGGACTTGGCCTGGCGCCAAAAAACAAATAAGGATGGCGCCAGGTGGACCTCTCTGGGGAGCGCATTCCATAGGTTGGGCGCCACCGCAGAGAAAGCCCTCCTCCAAGTACTCACCCTCCTAATATCCTTTACGGAGGGTTCCCGGAGAAGGGCCTCTGCCGCCAATCTCAGGGGGCGGGAGGGCATATATGGACGCATATATCTTCTGACTAGGAAGTCACAAAAGAGCCTTCAGAAACATGCTGCAACATGTTTTCTAAACATTTTAAGGATAAAATAACTTGCATCTGCTCTGACCTAGAAGCAATAGCAATGGTCTTCAGTCTGGAAATGCATCCAGAGCACTTGCTGGTCCTGTTCCAAGGAAAAAAATTCAGTGACTGTAGCCTCAGGATATGGTAAGGCTGCTTGAAGGGGTGCCGCCTATTTCTTGCCTTTCTGACTCCTGCCCTTTGTAGCTAATTATGCCCAGTAGGAGCTGAGGGTGGGGAGGGAACCTACTGGCAGGGCAAGAAGTAATTAAATTTTCCTTACAAGAAGGGACAGTCCTGGCTACCTGGAAAGAATTAGACTTCTTTTAGGCCCAGTTTTGGCATGGATTTGCCTTGGTCTCTCTGATGATAATCTGTGCTGAGGACACATGCATACATGTTGATTCCCCTTGACCTTTGGACATCTTGGATACCGCTGATCATGTTATCCTTCTGGAGAGGCTTTGTGAAGTAGGACTTAGTGGCATGGTGATTCTACTCCTACATACAGGGCAGGGCTATTCCCAGAAAGTAGTGCTGAGGGATCATGACTCACCTCCACTGCATTTATACTATGGAATTATGCAGGTCTTCTATCTTATTCTCTATGACAGCCTTGCCAAGTCTGGTGCCCTCCAGCTCTTTTTGATTTCATCATCCCCAGCTAGTGCAGCCAAGTGCCAAAAATGCAGGAGGTTGTCAGCAAAATGTCTGGAGAACACTGATTTGAGGAAGGGTGCCCTATCCTCTGTCATCTACACAAATTGGTGAATTAGTCTGAGTTAAGGTATAGTCCACTGAAAGCTTTATTTCTTAACTTCAGAAACAGGTAAGGAAATGGAAGTGCTGAATGAGTCTGGAAACAGTAATTTGCTGGATGAGGGCCAATAATCTGAACCTTAATCCCGATAAGATAGAGTTCTTATATGTTGCTGGCTCATCTTTCTTTCTTCTGGAAAAGTGTTCAGCTAGATCTGGAGGGGGTTGTATTCCTACTAAAGGACTACATTGATAGTTTGGGAGTACTCTTAGATCTTGTTTTGACATGGGAGGGCCAACATCCTCAATGATGTGGAGCAGTGTCCACTGGTATTCTAACAGTGAGTCCTCCTAGCCAAGGTTAGTCTGGCCACAACTATACATGCACCAGTAGTTTCCTGTTTAGATTACTGTAATGTGCAGAGGGCTTCCCAGAAGATGGCGCAGAAACTGCAGCTGAAGGAGACAATGGGCTGAGAAAGAGAAAGCCAAAGGAAATGTACATATGGGAGAAGACTTGAAGAAAGGGACAGAAGAAACAGAAAATAGAGAAAAGTGCTAACAGGAGGGGAAGGTAGCTATAATGGGCTCTCATGTCATGTGAACCTGGATTTTCTCCATAGTGGCTTATCTTTCTGCAAACAAGCTACACTGATAACTTATCATTCTAGGGGTTGTTCATACCCCGATATCACGTCATCTGAATTTGGGAGAATTTACTTGTTGTAGGTTGCTGGGATTGGCTACAGAGCTGCTCAGCAAGAGTGTTGGAAACTCCTGCCACTCTTCATGTTCTCACCCATGTCACTGCCAATGACTGCCCCTCCACTAATGGTCTAATGGCACTTTGAAGCAACCACCACTAGTCTCCATCATTTTTCCCAGTCCCTGAAAATTGTGCAAATGTGTTCCTAGTGGTTAAAAATCATCAACATCAGCCTTTTGCTAGCATGCTGGAGTGTTGTTACAGATGTCCAATTTGTATTGTCTTGTATGGTCAATTTCTTGTATGTTTCAGCTGTTTAAGTAAGGTAGAGTAGGGAAGCTACAAGTATACTGACAAGATTAATTTGCATGGTGACTTATTTGCACAATTGACAAGGAATAGGGCAAAATAATACTAAATGTGAGGAGGAACCCATTTATGTTGTAGAAAGTCACTGAAAATGGCGTAAAAGTGGGAGAGGTAGGTGCACCAAAAGGGGAAAGGGCAATATTTTCCCCTTAGCAATGCAATTCTCTTGATTTTAAGTACTGAACTGACATTTCTCAGTGCCGTTCACCTTTTCAGCACTTCCTGAGTCTGCAGATACCTCATAAATCCACTACCCCTTTCAAAGCATGGCCGGCTGCAGTTCCCTGTTCTAAAAAAACAAAACAAAACAAACCCAACACTGAGCAGGTAGCTGAATGGGACCAAACGAATGGTGCCCTGCTGAGAGGATGTACCTCTGGGCTCCATTTGCTCCATCATGTTTTGCCAACAATAAAGGTGTTTAAAAAAAAAACCCAGTATCAGAATTATTTGCACAGTTTTTAGGGGACTGAGAAATGCATGCAAACTTAATGG